TAATACGGGAGAATGTGCACCGAATCATCCGCAAAATGACGAATGACTTTTGAACCGATTTCTCATGGTGCATTTAGAAGGGCAAGTTTGAAGACAGCCACATGCACAAATCCTTTTTGGCATCAATCATCGTGATGTTTCCTGGTCCTTTCTCGCCATGCATAACAAAGGCATTCGTCATTCAGAGGAAGGTGCCAGTCCGAAGACCACTGCTTGGCAGCGTCTACATCCATTTGGAGGGCACTGGCATTGGAACTCCAGGATTTCACGTCGTCCGCAAAAAGTAGACATGGACTCGCAAGAACATCTGGAAGGTCATTGACGTAGATCAGAAACAGCACTGGTCGAGCCTATTCTCACTCAGAATGATCTGTCCGAGAGGAACTCCTTGATCCAGTGTAGGAATTTCCCCTAATTCTCGTAAGACTCGAGTTTCTGGAGCAGACGGACGTGTGAGACTCGACCAACTGCTTTTGAGACGTCGAAAAATATGGCATCCGACATGAGACGTTCGTCCTTAGCTTAGGTTAAGCTGTCCATAAACACGAGCATGTTTGTCACGCAAGAGCGGGATGGGAGAAATCTGTGTTGAGCTGTAGATAACGTGTTGTTGGTATTAAGGTGATCTAGGGTAGCTCGCTTCAAAATGTTTCCACCATCTTGCATGGCACGCTAGTGAGGCCTATAGGCCTGTAGCTGCCAGGCGATAGTCAGTCACCAGTTTTGTAGCCTGCGGTTCATCCAAGTGCCTGCTGGGTTTTTTTGGGACGAACATCGCGTCAGCCTCGTGAACTTTCTAGACAATGGTCCTATATATTTCTTCCACTGAGGCCGGTCCCAGTTTAATTTGTTCAAGAAAGACGCGCATTCCTGAGAAGTCTGCACGGAAGAAGTCTCGAAACCACATTAAAGGTTCGCGATTTCTGACCCAATAGCTGTGTCCCATTGGAGCGCTAATTGTTACCTGATCAACGAAGTGTGTTTCGTTAGTGATGACCAAGTCCAGGAGGGATGGTAGTTGACCTGCGCGGTATCTGGTGGGTGCAACGATATGTTGAGTCCAAGCGCTCTGTTGAACGACTTCAATCAGCGCCACTGCAAATAGTTCGCTTGATTCGACGCACTGGAGATCCATCCAGGAGGCCCTTGGAGCGTTGAGGTCACCAACCAGCAGGAGATGAGTGAAGTGGTAGTTGAAGGAGTGCTGCTCAAGGGTCCGTATGGGGAACTGGTCATTTTCAGGAGGGCTCGAGTAGCTACGGTAGACCACACCGAGTAGCAGAATCGGATCCGCGCAGCGGGATTTGGACTCAGAGTGCAACGCAAAAGAATGTGAGGTTGGTGTCAAAGAGGACAACCGGGATCGGTAGGGCCACATGTAAGTACAGAGCAACTCTGCCAACGCTCCCTCGTTCTGAGTCAGCCCGAGAAATAGAGTAACCCTGTATTGAGATCTCCGCGTCTGAGACGTGTGTTGTGAGCCAGGTCTCTGTGAGTGCGATTGTGGACGGTTTTTCAAGGCAAGCTGACTGTTTATTATGGCAGAGTTCGTTGAAATGGCTGAGGCAGTTTGTGTGCGAGGCTTTCAACGCTGTCTCTGCTGACGCCGTGGTTGAGGAGCCGAAAGTTGGGGACCTCAAGTAGTAACCCCTGGAAGCGATTAATTTCGCTTCACTCAATATGTTTAATGAATGTCGGTTTGGGACCGCCTATTTCAAAGGAAAACTCCAGAAAATGTCAGTCGACTTATCACCCGGAAGTGTGAGTGTTTAGGACCAATGGCCCCTGGCTTAACAGAAAATCGTGCGATGCAGTATGCGGGAGATGTGGAGGATACTGTATACTGTATAGGTGCTAAAGAGAAAACTTACTGTTTATTGTTCCCTAAGCGCTGAGAATGATTCAGTGTGTCTGCTGGTGTTGGGGTACAAGCAGCCGAATGTTCGAGTGGTGTATAATCGATTTGCATGATTGATTTATAATAGATTTACAGTAATCGATTATAATCAATCTACGCACATAGGAAAAACACAAAATAACGTCACTGTCACCCCCAGCGCTTTTCGTTAAGATCTGGGCAGCCATTTTCGACCATAAAGTCTTAGCCAATTAATGCTTGCCAGACGATCAACTGGGTATGCGTCTAGAAGCATGCTACTCTCTTTCACGAATGAGTCCATTACTGGGGCTGGCACTCAAGATATCAGTGGCCAGAGGGCCGTCAAAGCTTGTGTGCGCATAGAAAAACTGACAGGTACGCCCGAACTTTAAAAGTTTCCGTCGCATATGAAATATTATAATTGGCCAGTCTGTAGCCAGGGTGTTGAACACGTTTTATGGATCAGTACCCGAATCACTGTAGCCCCAACGTAGCCCACCATGATAAGCCTTGGCAAGCATCTGAAACAAATGGCCTACAAATCCATCTACGGATCACTTGACAACTGCTGCATCCACACCTACTACCAGAGTTTTGTTCTCCTGAGTTCCAAAGACATTTCCGAAAGAGTACGCCACAAATTATTTTTATCTATTTCAGTGGGAATTTCGGGTGTCAGCTCAGATTTGTTTAGCAGCCAACGCATAGGAGTTTGATTGCACAGGAGCTTAACTAATTTATGGTTAGAGTGAAAGAAAAGAATGAGAAATGATATTTGCGACTCTTTATGTGAATGGGGGAGGATCAACTAGTAACTAGCGAACTGTTTCTTAAAGGGAGCATGCTCTAATGATTCCCCGGATTTTTCTTGGAAAAGCGGTTTGGCTAGCTTGACAATAAAGCTGTCAGTCATGAAATGAAGGGGCGATGCCAAAGTCTCCTCTACCGCGCGCACAAATACGACATAGGTTTCTTTCGTTTATCCGTTTTACTCTCTTCTAACATGCTATAAAGGACGAACATAAAGTAGCACCTAAATTCAGGACTAAAATCTCTCCTGAGGTCTAACCCGAACACCGTTCATTGGTGATTACAGAAAAGAACGGTTAAAATTCATATGCGAGCCAAATCAACCAATGAATCCTGAGGGATTACGAGGCTTTTGCGTTTGCGTGTATATGAAGAAAACGCCACTACTAGCCTCAAAATATTTCTTCGGAGTGCAAGAATTTTAGAGAAAATTGGGCATGTTGGATCTACTGACTGTGACCCGCACTTGATGGTATGCTGTATTTCAATTCATCCTTTTCATTCCACGATAAATACTACTCGAAATCTGCAGTTTTCCTAAATGTCTACACCAGTGAGGTTGCACATCATTGCTTAATACCAATAAGATGAATTCAAAGTCTCCATTTTGCTCTCTTTCGCCTGACGAGTTTGCAATTCTGTATGAAATGGGGATCACAAGTTATTATACGTCCTTTTGTATGTGGACTGAGGATGGATCCCCGATTATCGGGTATTACGACCCCGAGCATCTGCTACCAGACAGACCAACTCATTTCTACTACTTTCACCATATGCGGCGTTTTATTTGTTTGAGATTTTAAGTAGAAACCCGAAACAATGCTTGATCTGACAACCATGAAATCTCGCTCATTCAGTTTGTTTTAGCTGATAATTCGCTGTGCCCGAAGGTCATGTTGGGACACCAATCCAAATGTAATAATGTGTTCAAACTGGAGTTGAGTGCTGTTATTATCAGTCACACATGTAAGTCGGAATTACAATCATAAGAAGTGATTGGGATTTTACTGAAATATTCTAACTATGCTTCTGTATTTGAAGACACGAACCAACTTTGTGTACAGTTGATCCGAGGGATAATGTGGATAGATATTTAATTGCCTTCAAATTTACCTGAATCTGCTTATCAGTTTTCCGGATCGGCCATAAGTCATTTAAAGCTAATGCTTTTTTCTGAACGAGTTCCTTTAAAAAGGTTTTTATTCCTGGGAACCACCGAGGAGACCAGTGGTAAACGGAAATCCAGTTAATCCAATGGCCCGGAATTTCATCAAGAGGGAAATCACCATAAAATCTACATCTCCACTAGATCTGATACAGACGTTATACGGAAAGTAAAGGAAATGACATACAAGTGGCTGTACGGTGGATTCGATCTGCAAGATTCAGAAATCTATCTCCGAGAAGAACGTTATATTGAGATACTCCAACTCCAAACGCGAATGAGCTGGTATGAAAAATCTCTGGACATAGTGAGCCAAAAACGGAAACGGAAGGCTCGTCCACGACCCAAACCCAATGACAACTGTTGTCCACTAATCCTTGTAAAGCTCGATTCGCCTCATGTTCTAGATTTGCCTGACACTTCCAATTGACCACCGGAGCATTCTCCATTCAAGCAGTTGGCCAGTGACGTCTTGATTTAGTTGAACTGGTCCAACTGCACATGTACTGCATACAGATATAACATGGGGAAACTAGACGGGATGATGCCCCGGCGCATTGTTATCTGACTCCAAATACCCAATCACCGGGAAGACTAACAGTGACAATATTTTGGACTCAGCAAGAATGATCTTAATCAAATACGAAAACCCACTTCGTCTTTCGTGGTAGCTCGAAAGATAGATGAGGGCGACAATTTGATTGCGGTTTGTTTCATCATAAGTGCCGCTGTTATGTGCAAGACCTTTACCTCAATTAGGACCCGGCCTATTGCACTAAACGCAGCCGTATCCCATCATTTGTAGGTCATTCTTACAGCAATGAAGCTTCTTTTCTTCCCTAAGCCCATATTATACTTCGAACAGAATCAGGCATATTTAGCCAATCTATTTAATGATCAAACATTGTGTGGCAGACCCTTAAGAGGTTTGAAATTAAGGGAGCAAAAAGACATTTTCACACACCAAGGCCGGTGCTCAATTATCCGGGCTGTATAGAAAACCACCGCAGTGCCTACACTAAATGGTGGTAAATCCAGGAATTCTTTTGCTTTGTACACATTCCAGCTGCATAATCTCGTTTTCATAAATCACAAAACTAAAAGTAACATGGTCTGCGCATTCACAAGGTTAAAAAAGTTGACATTTAGTTTGCCAAATGATTGTTCTCAACAAACAAAGAACGACATTTTATGTAATGTCTCCATCAGCAGTTGATATAGACCGCTCATTTCCCTGCCGAATTAGCTGCAAAAAACGTTTCTTAAGACATTGTTGTATAAGTGATCCTCTAGACCCACTTTTCATAGATGATTGTCGAAAACGAGGCACAATGAGAGTCAGATTTCACAGGCACTTGCTGAGCCTCATCCAATTTGTGCTACTGTTTATACACGTTATAAATTTCAAACACTCTATGTACAGCCAACACTATACTGATGATTAAGAATCTGACGGTTGGAGAACGCAATTAGTAAACTCTATTGTTCTTCGGCAACCTGTTTATCCTTCAGCTCTTTAACGTCAACAAAGTATCATTAATCTTCATTGAAGACTTCTGCGATCGTGTGAAAAGCAACGTTTCAACACGTCATAGGCTGAACGTTTGTGCAAACTCCACTAATAAAAAAGCGTGTTTTTTCGATATCATAGCTTCCATTACCAATGCGGTTAAGGGTATATAATTCTCTGAACTTACTGACTCGAAGACCGGTGCTGATAACATGCTCAAAAGGTGGGTGGCGAAACACAACTATTCTCGAAAGCAATATAAAGTATTTACCAGCGAAGCAAAGTGGAACGGTTACACTGCACTTAAATTGTCAGATTGGATTCGTGTTTAGTGCTATGTAGTTCCGAACAAACCGAAGTCTTCAAAAGATTTAGAAAAAATGTACCTATGACTGACAAGACAGATGAGCTCACGGAATTTTGAGGAGGTGGACGACGAGAAACACTGTTTATGCCACTTTGTGCTGAGACAATTCAATACTGCTCACTTCATTTATTAAGCTTACCCCGGGGTCAGTGTCAAACTCAAACTCAGTCACATTGAATTAAACAATTCAAGGCTGTGGTATATCACAAGTTCCAGTACTGATCCCATTACTGAATATTCCCTCTACAAATTATCTGTCTGTCATCCTGTCAGCATTTTTCGGACGACTTTCAATGATTATAGTGTCTGAAGATGCATCTTATTTGCTAAAGGCCATCGTCGAACGTGGAAAGACTTGACAACCCATTGGTGGTTAGTAAATGACTAACAGTTTTCTTCCTCAAATATGGAATCATTTGAAGTGTGAAAACCGCCGCCAATTAGAAAAACCCTAGAGTCAACCTACAAAAGGGCTCGTAAAAGTCAGCTCAGTGTTTCAAACTTCCGTGAACAGGCAAATAACAGTCCTGAAAATCCCCCTTGGGACGTTTAAAAGTACACCAATCACCTAATTACCTGAAAATTATGTTGTTTAAGCCCGCAGCTTGCGACGTTAGCTCGGTCAGGCAAATCCAATAAAACCCAACGGAGGGCCACTAAGCTCATTGTACTCACGCTCCCAGTCTTATGGAATTCCGAGTGAAACCATGGTGCTCACTTTCCGAATTTTTACAAAATTCAGCTAATATAGTCTTTAGCTGCTACCATTGGCATCAACAACCAAACTCCATATCTGTCGCACAAAACTAGATCACCGACGTCGTTGCTTTGAGAGCCTTGTAAGCTGATGATAGTGCTTATATCGGCAGAATGCACCTGAATTACTGACTATGCCGAATTTAAATTCTTTTGAAGGTTGGATACGAGGAACTTTGCTTGCGTTTAGTATACTTTGAAGAATGAAACGATCGGGATAACCAGTCTTTAAAAACTGCACAAGTCTTGATTGTCCCTGTCTTTCTAAAAAAGCCACCGGTTCTAGATGTGAAATGAAACCTGATACACGACCGCTAAAGGAACGCCACAGCAAAATATGAAATCTAGAATGCTTTATCTGGTGGACAAAGTATATGTTTTAAAATCTGATATAGTTTCGTCATGAGCAGTCTTATATTATTATTATTATATTATGGATAAAAACTGCAAAGTGTCTGCTATTAAAAGACAGTTGCTAAAATGTTGTTGAATGTCCAATACGGATATATTGAAACTAAATAAAATGTTCAAAGTTGAAAGCCACAAGTCTGTAACTCCAGAAGAGGAATTAAAACAAAAAAATGCTAGAAGCCAACGAGATTTCAAAGTGAGTTAATCCTAATACGTAAAATCTTATCATGTTATTGGCTGCAGATATTTACCTGGGCCTAGGTAATCAGTAATTTACGCTAATTTTCTTAACTGAATCTTTCGATCGGGCACGAGAACAGATAATAGTCGGGATGCCTCAAAATTTCAATTTTTTTCTTTGTCTTTACTACAGGCAGTACTGTAATCCTGGTTTTAGCTAACTGACATATTTACACGAATAATAGTGTAAGGTGATCTTTTTGAAACGAAAAATTCCAGTCTTAATAAACTTCAGCCCATGTACCCTGTAAACGTTTGGTTTGATAATAAGGGACATTCTGGCAAACAATAACGGTGACGTCGATATAAAAGTCCATTAGTAATAAAGAATAGCGATGTCAGGGCTTTTGTGCTTGATCTGCACCCTTGAATGTGCAGTTATATAGTATCCTAAATGGCAGAAAATTAAGTGATTCATGCGACCATCTCTTTTACATCCTTTCTCAACTAGAAGTTCGAATCATTTTGTAACTGTTACGAGTTGAAACGTGAACGATTCTGTTATCACTACTGTGTTCAATTAAGAAGAACCACATTAAATGCAACGGTGAGAAAGCTCTGATAATTTTATACAAGAAAATTGCGCAATCAGCGCGTAATTGTTATTGTTTCAGCTCAATTGTGCCCGCAAGTGAAACGGATAAATTACCTCAACTATTCCATAGTTCAATGAGGGTATCATTGTGTTTGATACTTGGCATACAACAGATGGATTTGAACGCACGTCCACCAACACTTGCTTTATGTCTTTTGATCTTTTTCATGTTCCTTTGGTCCATTTTGACTGAATCTCATACTTGTTTTGAGATTCCAGTGGGCTTATGCCCAACATTTTTAAAGCAAATACTGTGAATGATGGAATAGAACCACTAGTGTAGCAGTAACGTAACGCCTCCCTTCTAATTCGGTGTGAACTTGAGATTGTGATGGCGCTCACACGTGAACCTGGTCTATCCACCCATTTCTTTGAGTGGGGATTTGGAAACGAATTTGAGTAATAATTCGCATTTTTACTGTCTGGCCGATCTTCACTAAAAGATATCCAGAATAAATTTAGCGGTTGGTGTGTGAATCCTATTTAATTAACGGAATAGCCAGGAAGTTGGCTGGATTCCAACGTCTGAAGCAAGCTTCCTCAATAAAAGACGTGCAGCTTACATGAGCATAATTTTTTTCAAAGACGTGCGACCTTGAAAATTTTGTGAATCATTAATATGGTAATCTTTGTAGCAGTGAATTGATTATTAACCGAGATACTCCATCCATGGATTCTTATTTCTGAAGTAGATATCCGAACCGGTGTTGTGGAATGATCCTTTGTGGCAAATCTATTGTCTACTCTAGGAGGCTGGTTTTAAGATATTCAGGGTGGAGACGCTGTATTGTTACCTTTATAAACTCTTCGCTAGTGATTTTGTATGCTGCTGATGGAATATTTCGGCTTAAAAATTATTCAGCTTTATGGTCCCCATTTCAGCTACTTTTCTTAAGAATTAAATTATCAAAATACAGAGTTA